CAGGAGCTGTGCTCCATGCTGCACCGGCCCAAACACGCATGTGTCACCCGCAACCTGGAGGGCACAGAGTGCCAGGTAAACGTCTACTGAAGCCACTGCAGTTGAATACGGTTTAAATATCATTGTCACTTTTTAATCTACACTCTTTAAAACTATTTTCTTCCTGCTTAACCTCTCCTCTGCTTCATCCTCTTCCTCAGGTTTTCAAGTCCAAGTTTAAGAATTGGGATGATGTGCTGAAGGTGGACTACACCAGAGCAGCGGAGACTGTGCAACAGAAGGATAATCTGCAGGGCAAGGTCAGTGACACATGCTGACCAGCATCAGACTGTTGTTTTTTTTTTTTATGCACAAGTTAAACTGTGCTCTTCTTTCAGGTGAAGAAGGATGCAGAGCAGAAAGACCAGATGAAAGCTGACCTCACAGCTCTCTTCCTTCCGAGACAGCCACCCATGCCCCTCACTGAGGTAACAACGCAGTGCAGTTGATTTCTACCTTTGATTGTTGTTGACTTTGTAAAGCACAGTAAAACAACATATTTACATCTCACATATTTACTGTATTACCTGTGTAGGCTGAACAGCTGATGGAGGAGTGGAACGAGGACCTGGATGGCATGGAAGGATTTGTGTTGGAGGGAAAGAAGTTTGCTCGCCTCCCTGAGGAGGAGTTTGGGCACTTCTACACCCAAGATTGTTATGTCTTCCTCTGCAGGTAGACAAGTCTTTCTGGGGCTGTAATGCTGGAATTGATTTCAAAGATGAAGAAAAACCTCATTTTACTGGTGACTTTCTGTGCTTTGTTAGATACTGGGTGCCTGTGGAGTACGAGGATGAAGAGAAGGAAAAGAAGGAGGGTGAGCAAGGAGCAGGGGGAGATGGGGAGGAGGAGGACAAACAGCCTGAGGAGGACTTCCAGTGTGTAGTTTATTTCTGGCAGGGCAGGCAGGCCTCCAACATGGGCTGGCTCACCTTCACCTTCTCCCTGCAGAAGAAGTTTGAGAGTCTTTTCCCTGGAAAACTGCAAGTACGAGTAAAGAGTTTAATCTAGTTTCTGGAATTTTGTTTTTCCAAAATAAGAAAAAAATGTTTATCACACTACATCCATCAGCATCACAATGACAGTCACGTCCTGTTTTGTTGTTTAGGTGGTGCGTATGACTCAGCAGCAGGAGAACCTCAAGTTCCTGTCCCACTTTAAGAGGAAGTTCATCATCCACAAAGGGAAGAGGAAACAGAACACCGACTCTGCCCAGCCCTCCCTCTACCACATACGCACCAATGGCAGCGCACTTTGCACCAGGCATGCAAAACCTGCTTCTTTTGTCCTCAAAAAAGTTTGAATGTTTTGACGCATGCCAGCTTTCACTCCCACAGAAAGATCTTTTTTTTTTTTTTTTTTAAAGCTAAACATGTTCCCTCCATCTCTCTTAGAACCATCCAGATTGGTACAGATTCCGGCAATCTCAACTCTGAGTTCTGCTACATACTCAAGGTTTGGATATAAAAAAAGAACATCTGTCATTCAAGCAACTTAATAAAGACAAAGCATGATTTCATGTGGATCCAATCCCAAAATGTGCTTTCTGCAGGTACCGTTTGAGAGCACAGATAATCAGGGCATCGTTTACACCTGGGTGGGCAGAGCCGCCGATCCCGATGAAGGAAAGCTGGCCGAGGACATCATGAACAGCATGTTCGACGACACGTACAGCAAGCAGGTGAGATCATGTGCAAGCATGGATCTTCACGGGTATTGTCGTCACCCTTCCAGACAGACAGGCGGTGTAGGCACCCAAGTTTGTGACTGCGGTAACTCAAGAGAAAGGCAAAATAGGAGTTTGAAATTGACACCGTAGGTGTGTCTACTGGGAGGCTGAGGGGGACCACTGGTACCCGCCAGTGTTTATTTATTTATTCTGCATACAGCTAATACAGTCAAGTAGAAACCTCTGCACACTTAACCTTTAACTTTGAGTTCAAGTGCTTTCATCCTTTACTACAGCTGCTCAGTGCTTACACAGCAGATACCTTTTTATAAATTCTTGATTTATTACATGTTCCATTACATTATATAACATGATTTAATTTCAATTTAGTCTTTAATTCTTCGTAACCTGGCTGATATTTGTTATTTATCTGTATCAGCATCTGTAGAAGTGAGAAAGACGCAGGAGGAACACCCTTCAGCCATGTTACGGGTGCTGATGTTGCATAGTTTGTCCACCAGAGGGCACTCTATAACTTCCCGTGTTAGCAAAATCTGTATACTATATACTGTAACATTATCTTATTAAGGACTCACAAATAACTACACCCAGCAGTTGCTATGGAAACCTATTTGTGTGTCGTGTGTTTGAAAGAGGAAAACAAAAAGTCAGGCCTTTACCAGATTTGACAAATCAGCAAGTTCTGAAAGTAGGCTACCAAACAGCCAACTCACAGGGGCCTTCTTCAAAAGCTGGGACGTGACAGCTGCTGGCATTATGAGTCATTCGATAAAACAAAATCCATCCTCGCTAAAAAGCAAGATAATGAATCTTTAATTTTTCTGAGACTGCTTCATACGTCTCCTCGGCAGTGATGAAACTTCACAGCATCGTCACTTTGAGATTTACCTCCAAAAACTTGTTTGTAGCCACTTTTGACAGTTTCCCCCCCCAGCAGCTCGGCAGGTGTGCGGGTAAAAATGATCATACAGGAAATGAGAGACTCACTTGTGACTAATGGAAGCATTGGTCTCTCTTTTAAACTCTCTAAAGAAGATTGTGTGCCTTCAGCAGTGGAAATGCAGTCACAGCACCATCATTAATGTGTCTCCTAGGTGATTAATGAAGGGGAGGAGCCAGAGAACTTCTTCTGGGTGGGCATTGGTTCTCAGAAACCTTATGATGAAGACGCAGAGTACATGAAACACGCTCGTCTCTTCCGGTGAGTAACTGTTCGTGTTTTTACACATTACAGTATGAAACAGCTGCTTTTCTCTTTCACTCATCACATTGGTTCTATCTTTGTGGCGTTTTCCTCCTTTCCCCTCTACTCTTCTGCTTCAGGTGTTCAAACGAGAAAGGTTATTTCTCTGTGTCAGAGAAGTGCTCAGACTTCTGCCAGGATGACTTGGCTGATGATGACATCATGTTGCTGGATAACGGCAAAGAGGTAGAGACGATTAAGGATTGGTGTGTTGATGGACTTTGTTAGGTTTTATCATCATACTTGATATCATTTTTCCTTCAGGTGTACATGTGGGTTGGTACCCAGACTAGCCAGGTGGAGATCAAACTCAGTCTCAAAGCCTGCCAGGTGAGTAGGGGGAGTGCACTTTCTGTGTGCGTGCTTTGTGTTATCCACATCTTTGTAACTCCTCCTCCTCCCTCTCAGGTTTACATCCAGCACATGCGCTCCAAGGAAACCGAACAACCGAGGAAGCTTCGGCTGGTGAGGAAGGGCAACGAGCCTCACTGCTTCACGCGCTGCTTCCACGCCTGGGGACCCTTCAAAACTCCCCCTGCATAGGCCAAACACTATCCCAATCACACACACGTGCACACACACTGCCAGAGAGTTCTCTACAGAAATCTATCCCAGCTTTACCTGAGACCCTTCCCCTCCATCCATGCTCAGCAGCCTTTTTGGTCAAGCGGCTGCTGGCTGCTAAGTATCTGATATAGACTGCAAATTACCCCCTCCCCTTTTTCCCCCAAGCTTTTTTATTTTCTTAGCAAGTCTGAATTAAAGAATTATGTTTTGAGATAAAAATGGGCTTTATGAAAACCTAAGGGAGCTGCACCATCTAACATATCGATCTGTTCTGCTGCTTTCACGTGGCTCGTGCTGCATGGTCGGCGGTCGTCAGCGGGGAGGGCTAGGCGCTCCTTCACGCAGCTTAAGGCAGGGACTAGTGTGTATTCTCGTCGTCATTGAGGGACTGAACACGAAACAGCACTATAATAGTTTTTCTGAGGAATGTCATTTTATATATTATATATTTTTCATGAAGTGTGAGTGTCTACCCTGTGCGCCTTTGCTGAAATGGGGTCATCCCCTTTCCTGTCATCATATTTAGTATACTTTTGCGCTCACCTCCTGATCCTGTTAAGAGCATGATGGACAGTAATTGAAGTAAAGTAACACAGTCACGTTTATTTGGCCAAAGAAATCTTGTCAAGGTCAGAGCAAAGTCTTGTTTTGGTTTTTTTGTAATGTTTGAGGACGGATGTTTGTGCAATTGGTGAAGATCGGGAGTTTCTGAAACTGAACAATACTGTATTCTTCATCACAGGCTGCTTTTAACTTGTCAAATGTTTATTTTCTGGAGAGAATCCGAAGAAAGAAGATATTTCTTTCCAAATTAAAAAAAAAAAAAAAAAAAAAAAATCGAGAATGTGTACCTACATTTGAAAAAGTAAATGCATGATATTTAAAATGCTACAGGTTTAAAACTTTAGGCGCACGTTTGCTTATCAAATAGCTTCCTTATTGGGACAGAACTCTGAAATGGGAGAGCTTGAGCATTGTATCGTGACTTCTGGTTCTGCTAATCTTTGAGTTGTTAAAGCACTTTTTTAAAACCATTGCAGCCGGCGCCGTCAAACTAAACTGCTGCGGTGCTTCTAATGATCATGTGACCTGTGTTGGATGTTGGCACTGGTGCAGGCAAAATCCAGTCTGTGTTCCCAGATGGCTGCAACTTCCATCATTTTGGTTAATATTGTGTGGGGTGTATGCCTGTCTGTGTGTTTGAGTCCTGCACACATACATGTGTGTATCTGAAAATGTGCACATGCTCCTGATGCCACCTGCAGATGCTTTATTTATGTATTTTATATAAAAATAAAATTTCACATCACATCTTTGTCCATCTGGTCTTTTTTCTTTTTTAAAGCATCAGCTCTTCAAACTGAGGCATTTTCAAGCAAGGTGTCAAACCTCTTAAGCGCTCTAATAAAGCAGAGGTGATTTGTAAGCAGAGGTGATTTGTAAGCACAAACCAAACTTGAGTTTGAGTGTAAATAATTTTATTAACATTCAATTCTTCATCAGCCAAACTGCTAAATGACCCGGTTAATAAATTCCTACACACGAAACTGACAAAAATAGAAACAGATTCATCTTAAATGTGGATTAAGAAGGTAAATCGTGCCAGCTGTAGCATGAGAGGGTTAATTATGTGCATCAACCAGTACGCCGAGAGGGGGAAAAAAGCTAACATTTTAAAAAGGCATTAACATGACTCCTACCTGCTGAGCTAAATTAGTTAGTGGTGATGTGTGTTAAAGTGAGGGAACACAGAGTGGTTTTAAGGTTATGACAGTTTCAAATACTTCCCTCTTTTCTTGTGTGAACCCAGATATAGATGCTGTATACATTTGTTTCTATATACAGTAAAACGTCTTTTAAAAAAAACACAAGGGGGGTAAAAATACTAGCAATCAAAGCTCTGTGTGTAACCAACACTACGCAGAATGCACCAACTCAGAGACACCCCCCCCCTCCAAAAAAGTAGTCCCACTCCACTTCCACGCTAACTTTGCTTAGCTTGCAACACTTCCCTGAGTCCCGTCCGAAGGTTTCTGCATGCTGCGATGAAGGAGGAGGGTTCAGGAGAGAGACCCACTTTCCACCTTCATCCACATGTTTGAATTATTGACAAAATATATTTTAAATTTCAAACAGGCTGACACTGCACAGTAACCTCACATCACGTGGCCCCGCTGACTCCCACTGTAGTCGGGGACAGTGATGCCACGGGGGTCCTTTATAAGAGGTGTTAACGTGGGAGGGAAAGCAGATGTTCTGCCACAGTCACTGAACACGAGGATGGTAATTCTGTGTTTATTACCCCTGTGACATCACTGCCCGGCTCTTTAGCAATAAAGATATTTCAAAAGTTTAAAAATAAATCACCAAAATCTGCCCTCTGCCCCAGCTGGTTCCCTTTGTAGTCACAGTATGAATTTTTAACATTTCCTCACTCCATTCATCAATGAAAATATCTTCACTTTCTCCAAAAGCCATAGAAAAGTTTGCAATACAAAAACACCTCCACTGTCCCACACTCAGCTTCCTCCTCAGTACCCACAGAGTGGAGAGAGCTTCTCAGAGCCTGCTGCCGATTTCAGCGCTGCCTCGACCCCCACAGGAGAAAAAGTCAGCTGCCTTTGTTGGCACCTATAGAGAAATGCTACAACTTTAAGACTCATACTCAAAATACTTCATTTGCTATTCTGTCTTCAACACTACAGTGCTCTCCTTCAGACTTTGCTGGACAATCTCGGTTCTTTTTAAACGGGTTATTCACAGGACGCGTCAGGAAGAGCGGTCCATCGCATCCGCTCGTGTGCTGAAGATCAAGAAGGGAATTTGGCAACTGCAAAACCTCAGGCCGAGCCTGGCGCGCCACAGGCTGCAGGTGGAGGGAAAAAAGTGACCATCGAGTCTCCGCTGTAGACTGTGACGGCTCTTTCCTCGAATGCTGAGCTGAAGGGCCGATAACAGATGAACACAAAGACCTCAAAGACGGACGTTTCAGTTTGAGCTCTTGAAATCAGAACCATCAGCTCCAAGGCCGACCCCACGCCACACTGTGTCCACTTTGTGTCTCCACATCGGAGGAAACGTCATGTTTCCAAAGGGGTTCCAGAAGAAGACAATAGAGAATTTGTTCTTCCAGCAGGAGGAACCACAACAAGTGTTTTTAATGTTGGATTCTGTGTCTGGAGTAAGACTTTCATTCCAGCTTGTGCCAGGTAAACAAGAGAGTGCAGAGTGCTGGCAGGGGGCTCCACTGTGGGCTGATGGGAGATGTTTGTGGTCCAGCACTGAAATCCAATCCATCACGACCACCTGAGCCCCTCCCTGTAATACTGAAATAAACAAATACATAATTACAAGCAAATTCACAATAAATCGGCTCAACTAACAAACCAAACACACAACACATTGAGCTCCATGAAGCTAACTCCTAATTCAGAACAAGCTAATGACTTAGTCGCACAAGGAAAAAAATGAATTAAAAAATAAATACTGAACAGCAGCCGTCTCACATCCACAAAAGAAGAAAAGATTTTCAAATGTTTACTTGTGTAATGTTTCTGTCTGTGTACACCGCAACACGTGATTTTCAATGATTTATCAGTTATTTGCTATAATATCTGAAACAGACTGCAACTGAATGGGGTCAAGTTGGCAATTACATGCAGTGTAACACCGTCTTATGGCAACATTTACAGCAGTTTTCAGTCACACTGTTAGTACGACTGACAATCTTGCTTTGCACAAAAAACAAAAAAAACCTGAAGTCATATTTATTTATTTTGGGAGGGGTGACGACAGATGTTGAGTTTCCTTTGTCAAATCTGTGCAAAGATATTTTTTGAGCACCACAAGAGGGAAGCAGAGACTTAAAATAAATACTATCCTGTCATAAATAATAACCTTATAATCTAAATCAAGTAAACGAGCTCTTATTTGTGAAACCCCAGTGTCTTAAGGAAACCCGCTGAGGACACTCGTGTTGGTCACAGCTGCAGAAAATCTGATTGATGTGAAGTAAAAGTTGCAAATGTTTGAAATAATAACCAGAACAGTGAGGAAAAAAGAAAAAAGTTCATGAGCCCGTTCCGTGTACTTTATAATGACAGTAACCAAAAATACTGAGCTACAGCTTGAAGCTTCAGTGCGCCTCGGTGCAAAGGTTTTCAGCTCGACTGGCTTTCAGAGACACATAGTTTGGGTGGAAACAGTGCGGACGGCTCGTTATTGGAATGCAGCGCTCAGACAGAGCGGCTCTTTGAAGTTTGCACAGTCTGGATGCGCTCCATTAGAAACAGGTGTGTGTGTGTGTGTGTGTGTGTGTGTGTGTGTGTGTGTGTGTGTGTGTGTGTGTCCACTCGCTCTGATACCCTCACCATAGAGGTGGACGGGCTTCAAGGACTATGAGGTTAATAAACCAATGTTTCTCACCTGTTCAGTTGATGAGGATGCCAGTCGATCGTCCTTCCTCTTCTTTGATATTCTTCAGGTTATTTTCTGCCTCGTCCACACTTCTGTAGCACGGACACGCAAATTATTTATCGTCTTTGCCGATAATACATTTAATAAGTGTGTGTGTGTGTGTGTGTGTGTGTACCTACGTTAGGAAATCCCTGACGTCTTCCACGGTGAGTTCTGCTGTCGAGTCGAGGGTGAGGTCAGCACAGCTAAGGGGGGAGTCCAGTGGGGTGTCCAGGATTGGCGAGGACAAGCAGCTGGGAGGCTCTTCTGTTTGCCCTGCAAGGGACAAATCCAGAGATTCATCTACGTCCGATAGAGAGTGACAGAGAGTGACTGATTGGTCGCCCCAGAAAACAAATGATTTAAATATGGCGAACAGATTGATATTTATAAAGCACTTTACTGTATTCTGTAGACTTGTAACCACAAGCCACATCTGAACAGCCGGAAACAAACCACCACCACTCCCTCCTCCAGTAACTTGCTCATTATTGTGTGTTGAGCTGGATTTTACTGTTTTCTCCTCATTAGAAATATTTGCATGTGATCAAAACATTTAAACATCTGCGCCCTGCTACACTATCTCAAGACACTGGAGCTGCTCTGATGTGCCAAAATTGACATTGTCTTGTACAAAGACAGTAAAAATTGCCCCAATGTATCATAATCCAGGATAATGTGTTGGTGCCTGCGTGTAAAGTTCTTAATGACCTAGTCCCAGGTGAAAGGCCTGCTGGTCTCCACAGCAACAACAGTTTCCTGCTGTGGAAGGTGGTTTTGGATAGGAGAGGCGAGTGGGGCATACTGAATGGTTACCGTGGAGACCAGAGGGGGGGACCCCTGCCAAGGCACGGTCAGGGTTGTAAGAGGTTTACAGAAAGAAGAGAGAGTGATGAAGAGGAAGAATAAGCGAGAGGAGAAAGAAAGAAAAAAGGAGAGAAGGGCAGGAGGAAGAAGAGTGTGTGTGTGTGTGTGTGTGTGTGTGTGTGTGTGTGTGTGTGTGTGTGTGTGTGTGTGTGTGTGTCCAGACCTACCCTCAGCCTGACCCATCTGGTTCTTGTGGGTTCCGTTGGCCTGAGGCTGCACTGTCGTACCATCGCTGTGGACACACACACAAGCATGCACCATTTACTTTGGCAGTCGATGGAATAATACAGCAATAACAATAAAATTATCATTTCTTTGGTTTCACATGAGAAATCATATTGAACAGTCACAGCTTAGTGGTTTTCAGTGCGGTGTCCAGAGACCTCCCAGGGACTTACACTGGTCCTGGGAAATGTTGCAAATCAGTAACAATGACACTGAATTTTTAAATTTTTTTTATTATTTATGATATATTTATTAGCACGTATATTCTGATAAAGGATTAATCCATATAGCCAACCCTAGTTTAACTGGATCCTCAGATCTAGAACCAAATTTCAGCAAAGAAGGATCTGCTTCCCTTTCGCCTTTTCATAACACACCCGTTAAAGTTTTGAACACACTCGCTCATAATCACAGAGTAAAAGCAGCCTGAGATTTAATGATGCTTACAATCGGAGTGTGTGTGTGTGTGTGTGTGTGTGTGTGTGTGTGTGTGTTACCTGGTGGGTGTGGGCTCTAATGGTCGGTCGAGCTGAACGAAGCAGAGCGGTTCAGTGAGGACTTTGGCGGAGAGAGAGAACCTCTCGTATTCTGAAGGAGAGATCAGGTAAAACCCTGCAGAGAAGAACATTTTTTTATATTAGTGAGTGAAACCATCCTTTTAGTCATACGCTGACCTTTCTGAACATACATAGCTTTCATTTTATGTTGCCTCCACATTTAATTTAATTTTTTCCTGCACTACCTCATGTGTGTGTATATCAGAGACAAGGAGGCAAATGTTATCGTGATGAAAATCTAAAAGCAAAAAATAATAATGAAAGAAATCCCACTCTGCTCTTTAGGTGTCTTGAAATAACTTCTTTCACTTTAAATTCAAGCATATTCTTCTCACCCTGTCCATTCCTGGTAAAGACACATGATGCAATGCCACTGATGTCTTCCTTACGGATGCAGTCATAACGCACCTGAGGACACATAAAACACAGTTATGACTCACAAAAACACATTTGAAAGCACACGCTGCTGTCAAGCTCTTGATCAAACCCTGAGGCTGCACCTGTGGTCGGAGGGCAGGAATACTAAAGAGGTGCATGTCCCCGAGGTTGGTCAGACAGACGAGTGTGTGTTCGCTGTAATCCTCCTGAGCTGTGGAGCTGAAGACCACCATGGCAACCTTCCTCACCCGACAGCCTTCATGTGCAGTCAGCTTAAACTTAGTCTTAGCGCTGACTTTGGGAAGAGAGAACACCTGGAATTAAGCAGAGGAGGAAGAAAGGTACGATTTAAAACGATATACGAGTAACAGACCGCGTTTTAAGCCCAGATCCATTACAAACTTAAAAAAGTGACAATAAAAATGTAAATACAGACTTTGTGATGTTGTTTCCAGACGATACCTTGAGCTGCTCCTCCGAAGCGATCAGGACAGAGTGAGCGTTGGTCATATCAGGCGCGATGGCGAGGTCTTGAGAGGCTTCGTACGGGTCTGGTAAAGGTTTCCCCCGACCGTCCAGCACGCAGATCGACACCACAGGCGCTCTGTGCATCAGCTGAATCTCTTTACCCAGCACTGCCTCCACGCACACACTGCTCTCACTCGCACCGCCACGCTCACACACTCGCCCCGAACCCACACCGGGCACCTCCAGAGCGTAGGCGTACACACTGCCCGAGTTGGTGCCTGCCCATAGCGTGGGGCCGTGGTGTGTACCTAAGTAAGACCGAGCGTGTTGTTAGCGCGGCAGAAACGATAAACGACAACCTTCCTTAGCTCAATCCTGACATTTTCTCCAACAAACAAATGCAGTTCAAACAGTTTAAGAAAAAGTGAATGAAGTAAAGACAGAGTGGAAATATGTTGAAAAGTACGTAAACGCACCATCACGTAGAAATGTGTCTGCAAAGCAGACACACCGGACCACTCCAGAGAGCGAGTCATCTGCTGATCGCGGCTCTATCCGCCTCTGCACCGGAGCTACTTCCTCCTGCTCCGCTAGAGCAGCATTTGCCTCTTGAACCTATACACACATACAATACATAGTATAAATAGTATAGACAGTGTTCTTTTTGGACAGTTTACTCTCAGACACACAGTCTCTCACCTTGCTGGTGGGCGTAGTGATGGTGCGTTTCTTTCCTGAAACCCTGCTTTTGCGGATGCGTCTGAAGCTCTGTCGTAGGGACTTCTTCAAGGACTTGACTCTTGACAGGGGACCCTCCATTGCTAAGGAGTCATTAGGGTGTAAGGTACACCTAGGAGAGCATAAAGAGCACCAGAATGAATGTAAAGACAGCGGGAAAATGGGTTGAGCAGGGACTAAGTAGATCTTCATTATGCCAAAAATACTCAGGCTTTGCCCGATAACCAAAGAATACAAATCACATGACTGTGTGCGCCTAACCTTGCCAGCACAGCATTTCGTCTGTGGTAGTCAAAAAGGCCAAATCCATGACTCGTCCCAAAGGCGATCAGGTTCCACTCGGCATGCAGTGCCACTGCAGTCACAGAGGCCGGGGGCAAGCACTGCACCACCACCAGCGGCTGAAAGCCCGGGGGGAAAGGTGCGGGTTTAGAGCGCGGTTCCAGCCTGTCGTGGCCCTTCCAGGTGAAGCCCTCCCTGTCGTACAGCAGATCAACCACTGACACGTCGACCAAGTGGTCCGAACGCTCATCACTCAGACCCAGCACGATCACCTAGAAACAGTACAGAAACACCGTGGCTCATTTTGGGTTTTTTTCAAGCAATTCAATTTTGTTTACATATATCCCCAATTCACAATAATAAAAAGAAATAAACCAACAATCACACAAGGCCCTATAAGCAAACACTTGGAAAATGACTAAAATTAGATTTCAGTTTTTCTATGATATAATTAATGAAACAAACTTACTTAATGTTGGTTTTATTTTTTTTAATAACTTGTGACAGTGTGTTTTGATCTTCACCTGTCCGGCGGTTCCGGCCACCACCAGCTTGTTGCTGTACTTGCACAGACTTATCTTCTGGATGCCAAGCCTGGGGTCGTCACTGTAGGGGTCAAAACAGCCCACCTAAACACACACACACACACACATTGGATTTAATTCATTTGAATATAAAACCACTTTCTTGTAAGTTGTTAACATTAAACCATTTTGAATACTGTGCCTTTCTAGATGATCAAAGCAAAACTGAACTATGCAGTGAGTGACACTAAGCCACGCAAAGTTACACTGAAGATTACTTCCCACACACTTCAAGTTCATCATAAATATCCCCATGGAAAAGTGCTAGGCAGTGAGCTGCAAATCAGTTAATGAAATGTACCTATGTCAGAAATTATCTTATAAACTCTACCTGACTTCACAAGCAGACCTTTTTTGGAAACTTGTAAAAACTGCATCATCAGTGTAAAACATTTTGTCTTAATGGCCCAATTACAAAGTTAGTTTAATGCCAAAATGCCCTCCTGATGGTTTCCTCCTCCTTTAAAGGCCTCTCTCCTCTTACTATCAACCAAATGCCAGGACAGTCCCTACTTTACCCTGACAGTCTCTGCAAATGCGCATTAATCTGTCCGTCACACACGCACACAGTAGGAATCCCTCTCACATTGGAGTTTTGTCTTAGCAAAACAAGGAGTAAGAGAAGCTTGTCACACACACACACAGCAGAAAGAGTGGGATGATGGGTCTGGTTTTCATTACAGAGGAGAAAAAAGGGAAAGGCTCTTCATCCCATATGAGGGCCACATTCCTGAACATGCAGCTCTGTTACCACAGGATACACGAGGAGATGTGTTTGTAAGGCAGTTAAAGAGCGAAGAGGAAGAAAAGAAGTGAGCAGAAGGAACTTGCCATTCTGTCTATCAGCATGTACAAATACTTCATCTATTTTCTACTGGTGTGATGCCTCTATTTTTTTTCTCCATTCATATCAAATCCCAGATATAATGTGCTCTTATCCTGATCACATGCCCGAGCACTGAGAAACATTTCTGACTGTAGAAACAGTTTCTTTAAAATCTCCTGTCTCCTGACTAATGAAGCCAAACAGCTCAGCTAGATTCCCCTTGACACAAAATTCTGCCTCCAGACTGTGAATCACTTCATTTGAATGTATTTCTGCACAGAAAACTGTCCATTAAACCAGAAACAGACTGCGGTTTACGCTGGAGTCGAGTTTTAATAAGAGGAACAATGGGGTGGGTCAGTCTCAAATCCAAACACATGAAAACAATCAGAAAATTAGGGCCACAGATGCAGCATTACAGGGCTGCATGTGTGCGAAAGACAGATTGCTTTTATTCCCTCAGCTTGTAAAACCAGACCCTGTGTCTGAACTCTGAGGAGAGACTTATATTTATGTCCATTTCACCTCCTTTCGTGAAAAGCCTCATTGCTTCTCACCTTCCTGAACGGAGGCCATTCTTCCTCCTCTTGCTGCATATCGGGGTCGTTGCTGGGGTCCTGCGGGTCATCGCTAGGGTCGCAGTCGGTGTGGAAGACGTTGGCTGTGCTGAGTTTGTACAGCGGAGTGAGGGCGACACCCGAAGCATCCCAGAATCGCACCGTGCCATCCTCATGGCTGTAATCACAACAGATTTAAAATAAATAACAATCACAGAAAATTCAACAACTGCTCCCTTTAACAGCCATCTATAACAGCTAGTGACCAGTTTAAACTATTAGTCTATTATGTCCAGCTAGTCAGGTGCCATGTTCAAAGTGATGTTGGTGCATCAAGACAGCAATAAAAAGGCAATAAGATAGCAGATTCACCTGATTCCATCAGTTTATGACTGAATGGGATCACGTGATAATGTGGCGATTGACTGGGAAAAACTGGCATAGAAATGACTACATAAGTTGCCGTGTTCATACAGAGACATTCAAATCATGGGTCAGTCACACTGCAGTAAAAATTAGATGGCAACCTCATTATCACTAGTGAAAAAAATAAATAAAAAAAATAAAAATCAGTGTCTGCTCAATGACTGAATTTGTTCCACTTTTACTGGCTGGATACGCAGTTGCTACTTTTCAGGTTGCCTGCTATGGCAGTTGAAGCACTCGTGGTCTGACGTGAATCGATTGGAATCACTCTCAGACTGACTGGCAAAAGTTTGCAAATAATCACCATCTAATTTATAAATGCAGACAGACTGTCAACACATTGCAATCAGTCAGAGAAAATCCTCCACACGTAGTGGTACAGTTGTTGCAAAATAACACAAGCATTCAGTAACTTGCTTTTATATATGAACATAACCAAAACACAACCAGCTGGCAACTGGCTGAGTCGAGTACCCTGCAGCAAAGCAGCGCAGCCCAGACGAGTTGCGCTCATTAATGCACAATCAAATTGATCGCAACATGTTGGCAATCCTTCCGTGCTTGTAAATTGGTCAGCATTTATTTGATTGCCTTCACCGAACTGTATGAGAGTGACTGCAGTCAGTCCCAGTCAGAGCATGATGGTTTGCAGACATGTTATTTCTCAACGACCTGTGCAACCACATTGCAATCCAAAAAAGTTACCCAGAGGTTGAGAGTGTTGCAAGCTCAACCTCTGCGTGACCAGCTGGTCACTATGCTAAACAAACTTGTAAGTAATAATTTCCTTTTTAATTCTGAATTTTAGGTCGCTATATAAAATGTTTAATAGATACACTAACCAATTTATCCACTACCCACTTCAACAGTTAGTTATACTCTTAGCTAGCTATTCAAACCTGTCACTTTCTGACCATCAAGTTTTTAAAATCATATAAGTGTTTATCTGCTGCAATCCATTGCTTTTAGTTAACTCATCTTTGGTGATGGAAACAAGTTCCTGTACTTTAAACAATGGAGAGAAACACAAAGGACAAAGAAAGAGAAAAACAAGGATAACGTCAGTCAGTTTGTTGCTAACAAAACTAACAGCGGCATTAAAATTCTCCTCCTGCTTTCACGCTATTCTCAGTTTTCAAATTGTCTTTAAACCACTTCTATTACATAACTCTTTTTATTGCACTTTAGGCCAATGCAAGCTCTGCCAAGTGTGCGGTTGGCAACACCAACAGTTTCATGGGATTTCCCCTTCACCATTTTTTTGAATGCAGGATATCCTTTCTTCACGCTGCTTTTAGTGACCTAATCTTACTAGAAAGCATCAGATTTACGTTATGGGAAAAAACAAGAGACCTGAATTCACTTGCAAAGAGTGAGTGAGTGAGTGAGTGAGTGAGTGAGTGAGTGAGTGAGTGTGTGTGTGTGTGTGTGTGTAAATACCCTGTCAATAGCAGTTCTTGTTGTTTAGGTGGAGGTGCCAGATTTTTCCCCCCACATATCGGCCAGCTCTGTACACACAAACAATAAATAAATAATCATTCTGAACCAAGCTAGGACTCATCATTTTTCACATCAACATATTTTCCTCATGAACTCGTCTTAAAAGTTAGAGCAGAAAAATGTACCACAGAGATTCACACTCTGATAAAGGATCTGCCAATCTGATTTGGCCTCACATAGACAAACAAAGAGCCATGATGAAGAGCGTAACAGCTGTGTGTCCGTGTGTGTTGCTAATCTCCCACTGATCGCACAACTGATCTAAGCCACAGAGCTTTTGAAAAGCCTTTAACCGTCTACACCTGCTCTTAAAGCTCACACACTACCAGTGGCTCATGGTTACATTCCTGTTTGTTTCCTCTTCTCATTGCTGGGCTGAGAGCCAGTGACTTATTACTTCCATTTACATGCAAATAGCCTCATCTGATCAATTTACAACTGTTCTTGCCTTTGAGATTTGAAACAAGCAATTTTAATATAAATCCAAGTAAAACGTCAGCTGATGGGTCAGACTTTGTCTAAGGTGTTTTCAGGTTAAGCCTCTTATGAGGATCTCGGATTTCCTGCGACTGAATATCCCGTACTGCCATGTATAAACCAATTTGCTAAATAATCCTGTCATTCACAGTGCCAATGTGCTTCTTACCCTGTGTGTGTGCTGCCGGCTTTGCTGTGCTTTGCCAGCATTGACCAGCCTCTCCCAGAGTTTAGGAGGGACGCTGGAGATGTGGCAGGAGCAGGTGATGGCTGACGAGTGAAGAGGAGCAAGATAGGGAGTGGGCATAGAGGGCCATCCGGGGGTCTGGAGGTCAATTACAACCAGTTCTTCTTCTAGTAACACCACTAAAGCAGATGGCTCATCAAACTCTATAAGAAGAAAAGATCACACAGGGGATAAAGGCTTGATACTCGTGAAAATGTTACCTTTACATACACCATCTTTAACACAGGTCAGATTCTGACCTCTCTCTTGCTCCACACTGTGGACGGTGAAGAAATCAATCACTCGAGATGTGAAGTCGAGGGTGACGTGATCTTTGTCCTGTTGGATCGTTAGACAGTGGCGGTCACCATAACTGGCTCTGGGCATCCCTCCACTGTATAAAAGCACTGGAGAACTACAGTGAGAAACACAGATTAGCTACTTTTCTACCTCACAATTTTTTTTCTATTTTCACTCTGCATCACTGCATTCTTTTACATTAACTTTAAGTTAACTTCTCTCTTTATTATGTTTTAATAGTATTTTTCTCACCACAGATAATAGTTACATGATGTGGTAAATTATACCTTTTAGATTTACAAAACTAGGAAAATAATCAGCAATTGCATAAATATAGGGATGCAAAAGAAAAGACCAATAAAAATAAAATGAAAATGAATCTGAGAAAACAGTCATAAGTGAAAATTCGCCAGCGCTGATTCCAAATGACCTGTTTGATAGAAGGACTCAAACACACTTTAACAGGAAGGTTGCAAAACGAGGTTTAACACTCACCCTGCTTGTGTTGTCCTCCACAGGATTTTGCTGATGGCTTTACAGGGAAATGGACCTGTGATAGATAATTACAAAAGAAAGAAGAAAAAGAAGACTATTAAAAGCTACCAGAGATCCTTTTTAGTCCAAGAGAGGGCAAATGAAAGGGGCCGTCTGTTAGACAGCACTCAGGGTACTCCACGGGAATATTAAATAATTTACAGCCAACACAGACAGAAACCGTGTGCGCACTAGTAGTGGTCTGTTCTTAACATAGTATCAAATCTTAAGCAACAAAACCATTACAGAATCCACCACAACTCGAGGAAGCTGTAACACTTTCCAGGAAGGGTTCTTCCGAGTTCATAACTGTAATAGAAGTATGGGTTCAGCATTCACACCCAAAGTAATTTAGGTGCGAAGTTCTCTCGGGTTCTCTTTAAAGTGAAGTTTTAGTCCATTTTATTTCAATGCTTCTGTTACTACAGGGAAAAAAAAAAGGGTAAGCATGAAAAGTCTCTATATCGTTTGTGGCTCTTCATCTATTCTCTACACGTCTGCAGCGTGGTAGAGAGAATTAACTAAGATGCAGAACAGAGTTTTATCACGTTAGAGCTCATTACTGAACAAAAGTTAAATGCTTTAGAAATGTTTATGATCATGAAAGAAATGTAAAATGACAGGTAAAAAGATTCTGAAAACAATTTGCATGACTGGGAAAAATGCATCTAACACAGCCTGTGTGTGGAGCCACAGCGAGCTCTCAGCTGAAGCACTTATTCTCATCACTGTGGACTCCACTGTCCGTCACTGGTTCCACTCTGTCCTCCAGACCTGAGAATGTTTCACTCCTACACTTGAAATGCAAATGTGTGGAGTGTGTGACATGTGATGTATGCATGTGTGCATTTCTCACCGTAGGGGATAGTGGAGGACACTGGCTGGTGATTGCAGGTGCTGCCACTGGTAACAGCCCAAACTGAATAGCCTCCATCGTTATGGGAACAGACAAATAAGTTTCCAGAGCGTTCCCATACCAGACTCTCCAGTTGCTGGGGGGAGGGTCATAGACACAAAGTCATCACTGCAGGTCATCTAGCTATAACATCACCCTGAAAACTGGGAGCAAGAACAATGAGCACCAACTGTAACAGGTACCTGTTTGCCCAGGAAGAGCTGCTCAGCGTGACGAATGCTCAGATCCCACAGGACCACCAGGCCTCGGCTGTAGCCAATCAGAATCTTCCCTGACTGTTGAGGGTGTTCCTGAAGAGCTTCCACCGGCCCCAGAGATTTCCCACATCTGTAGTCATCTGGCAGACTGGGAAAATGAAAACAAACATTATCCATTATCCCACATCTGTAGCTTCCCGCTTTACTGTGATCCACACGGCTGTAAATTACATTTATCTACACATCCTGACGAGGTCAGACATCTGTCTGATGAAACAATTATCCAATGACACGAGAGATACAAGAGGACAGAGTCACCTGGTTCCATGCGAGAGAAATTCTGTGTTTTGGTTACACTGTACAGACACAGTAAACAGCTGAGTTTGAAAAACAAAACAACAACAACTACATCCTCAAACTGGTTTAGTGTTTGTTATCATCTGAAATTATGGTGTGTGGAGGGAGAGGGTAAATAATGCAGTACACATACGGCGCAACAGAGTTTTGGAAACAGTGCAAGGAGATTATACAAAATGTTGAAGTCACTGCAGCAAATACACAAAGCTGTTCTTTGCACCGAAACACCCCAAAGCAAAAGTGCTAAAACATGTATAATCAGCACAAAGCAAAGACCCAAGTTGCTGAAGTTTGAGAACAAGACATTCCTCTGAGCCAGAGCAGGAATGTAGAGCAGGACACACCCTTGAGATGTCAGAGGATTCCCTCAGCGAAGGAAGAAGAAAGGAGACGAAACAGCCAAGACAGAGAGAGAAAATGAAGTGATAAAGAAAGAAAGTACTGCAGCTTTATGGACTTTAATGCAGATGAAACAAGGATCAATGAACAGCAGCGCCGGGTGAAGCGTACACACACACACACACATATAACTTCTGTCTGCTGTTGTAGGCTTCACTGAGGAAGATCCTCTCCGGAAGCACAGCGGCAGAAACATTCCCAACAAAGCATTCCATTGTCTCTGTCGCCCTGTTCATAAGTATTTTTAGGGAATCCAGCATCCTGCCATAGAGTCCTAGAGATGATCCTGTGTACGCTTGTGTGTGTGTGTGTGTGTGTGTGTGTGTGTGTGTGTGTGTGTGTGTGTGTGTGTGTGTGTGTGTGTGTGTTGAAACACTTCCCCAACCGGAATACTGTGTTTTGGCATTTGGTACAAAGCTTTACTGTCTAAAACTTCCCCTCCTTTGCGCACAAACACACTCACACACACACACACGTACGCCTGCCTTATCAGCGCCCTCGTTAGGCTTCAGTTCTGCTTACTTCCCTCGACAAGCCTGGTTAATGAGGGGTTTGGCCAAGCAGTCACACAGTCACAGCAGAATGAAAAAGAAACAACAGTAGTACTGATACACAGCCAGTGTGGCAGCACAGCAAAGCTCAAGCACGAACCACAAAGTAGTCTGTGGTATGTAGGGAGGCAAAAAAAAAAAAAAATCACGTTTGTTTTCTGTCAGATATCATACAACATTCTGCATTTCCATTCTTCTATGATAACAATTGAATTCCTTTACGTGTGTGATGATCGGTGTTTGTGCTCCACTCTCACTGTGTTTTGTTCTAGTTCACTGCTGAGCTCTCACATCACTGCTTGCCACAGTGAGGCTCCACCATCATTAAGGGGGAGGGGGTAAAAACACCTTACAAATAACAGCCCTGAAGTAACATAGCTGTCTTTCAGGTGTCTGTATATCTAGTTAACACTGCTTTGTTAGCAAGTTCCTTTGCAGCCTTTACAACTGATATCATGGTGCAACCCCCAGTCTGAAACAAGGCGTTTTTAGCTTTTCTTTAAGGCCACCCTTCCTCTAAACCTTTCTAATTCTAATGGTTGGCTGCTATTAGCATAGAGAAGGTTTTCATCAGCAGGTGGTTGGAGCTACTGTGCTCACGGCCACAGCCTGAGAGGACCAATATTAACGTTATTCCCCTCACTCTGATATCTTAGACAAAAGAGAGAAAAAAAGAAGAAGAAAAAACCCACAAAAATGAGGCTCAACTTTGGCCATATTTAATACCACTGTAATAATATTATGTAATAATATTATATTATATAAACCACTGTCATAATATGGCAGAAAATGAAGAATTAAAGCTGAAAACCCTCACACATAATTAAAGAAGGTTTTCTAATCTGCACTGATTTAAAACAAACAAACAAAAAAATCCATTATGTGACATTACCTTTGTTCAAATCAACTCTACACACACAAACCTCCTATGTGAAAACAAAAGCGCTGAAGGGAAAAAACACACGTACATTTTTAATAAGCTTCACAGAACATGTCTGTTAAAAAACTGTGCAAGTGAGTTACCAGAACAAAGCCAAAATTAGGTAATAGGCTGCTTTGTTAGGTCAACTTTACTGTCATGACTGATTTGATCATTTTATTCTGCAAGTAAAAGCAGCCATATCTTCATTTTTAGTGCTCCTCACTCACACTACGGTGTGTAATTATTTTTGACTTGTCGGTTTTTTGTTTTTTTTTAAAAAGCTAAATAAATTAATATATAAAACATCTGACAGCGTTTAATGGAGCCTGAACCCAGTGAACCTGACCTGCCTGCTGCTGCTAGGGTCAGTGGGGATATTTGTATCCGCATGTGTGTGAGCTGCTCAGCTGGAGCTGTGAGTGGAGGAAGCTGAAGTGTTTAATGTTTACAGGAACGCTCACTGTGGTGGAGGACGGAGAAGAGTGGAGAACAAGGATGGTGAAGAAAAGTCAAAAGATTTAAGCATGTGAAGCTATTTACAAGGATAATTTCATATTCTCTAATAAATATCTGCAAAATAAAAAAATATAACCCTTCCACATGTGTTGACAGTTAGACAATAAGGCTATGTATTCCATTCCAATATCAGCTTAGCTGCTGTATCCACCAGATTCTTTTGTTTAACAGTGTAAGTTAACAAAAAAAGACACAGATTTATTGCTTGATCTGTACTTGGGTTGTCTCTTTGTTCATGTTTTTTTGTATTAATTCCTTTTGTGTAACAATCTCACCTGTGTGTGATCTGATCCTGGAGCAGTGTCTGGTTATCTTTCAGCGAGAGGCTGGGCACCTCTAGGAAGTAGACGCCTCCTCCCTCTGTTCCAACGCAGAGGAGGTCACATGACTTCAGCAAGAGGAGGACAGTCACCCGAGTGGCACTGAGAGAAAGGAAATTAGGAAAATTTGTGATACTCAAAATTCTAACAGGCACAACCAACAACAAGTTGGGGTGTGAAAGAAGGCGAGACATGATTACAGACTTTCAAAAGTTTCCAATTTTCATTCAGGTTTCTGTAAAGAGGACTCTTGTGTACCTGCAGCTCTCGATGCCAGGTCTGCCGGGCAGATTGTAGGTGTTCACTTCCTGTAGAGAAACCACGCCCTCTTTCTTAACCCCACCGACCTCTCTCAGGGGTCCGGCCACCAGCTCCCACAGGTGGATTGTGTTGTCATCCAACAGTGACAGCAGACGACCCTTGGGAGAAAAGAATTAATATATGATGTGTGCCATGACTCACTGCCGAAACCTTAACTTAATTTTTAATGTTTTGGAGTTTTGTTTTGTTTTTTAACATTTTTAAACATTCAGGAGAAAATTGAGCTCACCTGTCCAGGCAGGAAGTGGATTTGTGTGACAGCAGTGGTGTCATTGTGCAGACCTGTGAACTCCACACCAGGCGCCCCATAGCTGCAGGTATCCCGTTAAAGAAATACACAACTTGGCATTTAGACTGGCATGAGCAGTGGGCTAAAGTTAAGATGTCACAAAGCAGTATACTTATTGTCTAGAGCTACAGACACGGAGGGGAAAAAACAAAGATTGGAAGGAGGGAATCTCTGTTCTTCTGTATAATTTGTGTCCACTACTCCCTTTAAAGAGAAGATTCACTGCAAATCAATAAATGTTTGGAACAATGGTCCTTCATCCCTCCAGAGACGTGCACTGAGGCTGTTCTGGCTGCACACCTTACCAAGACACTTCATATACTACAAGTTTCCACCTTAATCCAAACTAAACTTTCTGCTTCCACCAGTCAGTAAAGTTGCAGTTTACCTCTTTGTCATTCCAGGCTTGGCTTTTTCCATGTATAATGTTTTCTTTTAGACCAGGAGTGTCAAACATATTGCCAGGGGGTCCCGGCTGCTCCCTGGTCTTTCAAAAATATGGTCATTTCAAACGGAGGAGGATAAAATTTGAACCTTTAACTGCAATTTCATCAGTCTTACAATAGTCTTGCTGACAAAGACATAACCCATGGCGTGTCATTGCATAAAAGACAAATTGTCATCATTTTATTTTTCGTGTTCAAACTCATAGAAAATCAGAAAAGTACATTTTTTCAGTATCCTGAGATATCACATTATAGAGAAGATGCCTCTGGCCACAGCTGGTGCAGCAAGACATAATATAATTTCTGCAGGCAAAAAACTTGCATGAATTATTAGACACCGAGTGGTCTCAGCAGAGAGACGGGCAAAAGCACATTTTATTTTTTAAGTCAATGGCTAGTTATACACACGAAGAACACTCCTAAAACAAAGCTTGAGAGGTTTAAAAACATAAACCTGGATATATCTGCCTCTCTGTCACATGCCCAAATTAACATTCCTGTTTAAAATATCATTCTTTTACTCCTTCCCATTTCCCTGCACATCAGTATAACACTGTGCACCAAGCGTGGCGCCAACTCTGCCAGGGCAAGCAATTAGACTCCCATCATGGTTTAAAAATATGCATGACTGGTACGGAACACCAGTGCTGTTAAAAGCAGATAACCAAACTGTGGATATTTTTAGTTTTTCAGAAAGGTCACGAGATAGAGGGGACCATAACATAGTCGTCTGTGTCCTCCTGTCTGTTTAGATGCATATGTTCTGTAACAAAATTCAGCGTCCTCAGATACTACAAGACAACGTGAATACACAAAACAATCACGGCACAAAAAAAACAAAGATGCACGTACACACCAGCAGGCAGAGGGGAGTACCTTAAAGTATCTCACTTTATTTAAAAAAAACAAAAAAACAAACAAAACTAGTGAGTAAGAGGACAGAGTGCTATAATTCTGAGCTGTAAACTAGACGCACACAGTTTAGGTGTAATAGAGGGGTGGAATTAGAACACTATAACAAAGCTCATAGCAATTATCAAAACCAGATGACGCAGATGCCTGAAACCACCACTGTGTATATATATGTATGTCTGAGCGTGTGTGTAATCAGCGGCAATCTCCGCAGTCACCCCTTTGTTAGCCCAGGAAATGAAGCCGAGCTGATAAAATAAAGATTACTCTCAAGATCTGTGACGACAACTGCACTAAATAGGACTAAATTGTGAGTTAGCGCGCATACACACACACACTCCTCACTAGAAGCTGCACACATATACACACACGTGGTGCTTGGAAGCAATATCGACACACTTCAGCACACTGCTTACATAAGCCTGTAGGAATGTGGATTAAAAATGCAGAAAAATAAGAGGAAATCTGGGGAGTGCATGTTTGTATTCTACTGTGCGCACAGTGGGTTTTCTACATTCCTGTTTTATCTGAGGAAAAAGAAAAGATCAATATTGTAATTACATTAATTTATACGTTTTTTTCCCTCACTTCCTATTCCCAGGACTCCAAATCCCCATAGTCAGGAATTTGTTAAGAAAGTCACAGATATTCGATCATCATCATTCTCACTGCTTTACTGTCAGACGAGGGGGTGCAAAAAACAAACAAAACAAAAACAAAAAAATCCTCCTACAGCTTTCATAACTGTAAGTTCCATCGTCTTGTTTATGGAAGCTGTCTTCTTCCATCAGGAAGAACTTAAATCCCTCTTTTTCATTCCCTCACGACGCCGATCCCCTGGAGACCAAGCTGGGTGTTATACTGGCATTCCTGAGTGCTGTCACTTCCTGTCCCTGTGTTTTATACACGGCAGTAACAAGTCTCAGACAGCTGGAGGTGGAGGTGTGAGGAGGGCTTTCATTTGTGGGTCATGAACTGCCAGTGCAGATTTTTTTTTTTTTAAGCCAAAGCTGTGAGTCAATTTGTGCGTGGCACAACAGCATGTGTGCTAAAATATTAAAAGGACTGAATTGCTGCATTACAACATCTGTGTTAAAAGCAGATTCAATGAGCAGAGTAGGCATCACGATCTAAAGAGGAGCAATAATGGCAAAAAGGTACAGAACCGCATTACCGCCAATGGGGAGAGGAAAAAAAATAATAACTTGAAATTTAAAGTTAGCTCTCCCAATCAGTAAGGTCTATGAAGATATGTCATCTCCTTGTCATCTGGAAGCAGGTAACAAGGAGGTGGCTGACAGTATTCGCTGCCCAACAGTTTGACATGAACACACTCATCCTGGTCTTTGTTCACGTTCACTGGTAGCTCTCTGATGCTTTTGAGTGTGCATGCTGCTCCATCTGCTTTCCTTTGTGAAGCTTCCGGATTGACTTTTGAGATACCCAAATTTTAAGTTATGGATGGCATTTTGTTCCCCTCCAGCAGCAGAAATAAGCTTCCACAGAAAGGTAAATTACCGAGGGACAAATTAAAAGTGCTCTGTTGTAACTTAAAGGTAAAAGTGAAAAAGCCGACAGGAGAATAAGTGAACGGAGAAAAATCACAGCTGTGTGGGAAAGATGAGAGGGACTGAAAAACAGACAGACAGCAGCGGTTTGTGCATATATTCCAGCTATGTCATGGTGACCACAGCTCATTCATCACAAATCTCGCAGCTCCCACACATTTAGGTTGGCTACGCAAAAACGAGTGCAAAGAAAGCTGTCAGCACATTGAGGGGGGGGGAAAAAAAAAAAGAAGACCACTAATATTTAGGACTCTGTCAGAGACTTGACTTTTGGCTGGTCTGTAGCAGCTCAGACAGAAACCAACCCAACACCACATAACCAGGAATAAAAACGTTTATCAATCAGGAGTTGTTAGAAAAATTAATAAGTAAAAATGTGTACACACACACACACACACTTCCTGCTCCTGGTGTGTCAGCAGACAGCTGGTAGAGGGATTCCCAGGGATGATGTCACCCTGTTGCTTTGACCTCATTAAAAGTTTATGTGCATGTCTGAATTAAGCTCCCTCCCCCAAGAGGTCTGCACATTGGCCAATAATACAAGCCCCCAAAAGCTGTGGGGTCATAATAAGTGAGTAAATGTGTCACCCTTCCTGCCTCTACAACTATGTGCCTGTGCTCACAGCTTTGTCATCTTCATTCCAGTAAACTCTGATTAATGACGAAACTTAAAATAAACATTAAGAAGTTTTAGCATAAGAGTCTACAGGCATGGTGGCACCTCTGAGTACTAGCCAAAAGCTAACAGGCTCACAATTTCTGATGTCTAGCAGGTATAATGTTCACCATGATCATAGTCTTACTTTAGCCTGTTAACATGCAAATGTTTGTCAAGAAGCACAAACCACAAGTGTGACTAAGGCTGATGGGAATGTCGTTAGATTATTATTCAGAAGAGCTGGACCATTAAAATGTTGAGAAATCGCACTTAAAAAAACAAAAAACAAAAAACAAAACACAACAACAACAAAGCACTGACGGTAAAAACAAAAAAAAAAAAAACAGGTGAGCTGAAAAGAAAATATTAAAAACCTACATATATTATTGATTTCAATAAAAGTTTCTTTAAAATGTGTTTGAATTCAATTTCCCCATCAACTCTAGTCCTGATCCCTTCAGAAGCATCAGGTAATTTGATATCCAATACGTTCATTTCCAGCAAGACAAAAGATAAAGCAATGCCAACAGGAATAAAGTGATCAGAGGGGAACAGATTAAACATTTAAAGGAATAATGAGTACGTACACACACACACACACACACACACACACACACACACACACACGGCTCACTAGATATCCCTGGAGCTGCAGTGTTGATCCTCAAATGGTTTTGTATTCTGGGAAGCACAAATGTGCTCAACAGATCGAAGACATGGCAATCTGCCCATTATACATACACATTTTATTTTTATACCCATGACTTGATATTGATGCTGATACACAAATAAGTAGGATTGTAATAAAATATGTAAGGATTTATCCTCTGGGGACCAGGAACATGTGCTGTAAAAGGTAATTTGGAAAGTGCTTCCTTTATCATGTACAAAATACGCTTCTGAGGCTCAGCTCTTTACCTCCTGAAAGCTCTTTTTTGAAATGAGCAGCATCAGAAGTTGGTGAGGGTGGTCTCTGCTTATGGAGGTACCCTTGGAAAACCTGAACCATGTCTTTATTGATCTATTACTGAGGTGTCAAAGCTTGTCATTAAGAGTACAGGTGGAGGACATCAAACGGCATCTTTATGGAGGAAAGAGTTAACCTATGTGCCTACCAAATGCAGGATAAGGTAAAGAGGAACGCCTGCAAAGTCTCAGGGTGCCTCACCAGATAAGGCAGAAGTTTCATCGACACTTCGAACACACACAAGGCTCTAACAGCAAAAACTAAAGGCAGTCAGACTTTAATACTCGTAAACAGAATGAAACGCTGACTCAAAGCAGAAACTTAAAGTCCTCCTCCATCCAGTCTGGAAAAAAAGTATAAACAGACACTCCAGCTGTGTAAAACCACTCCTAAACAGCATGCCATGGGTTTAGAGAAAATTTTAAAGAAAAAGAACGACACCTGTTGAATGACAGACTGGTTGAACTG